GTTTAGTGATATTTATAGGGAATCATCCTTAGGTATTGTAGATTCAAGTTTGTTCAAATCATGACTCCCTAGGGGGTTAGAATTCAAGCCCCCTCCCCCCCCCCCCCCCTTCTCAGTAAACTTTCAGTTCTGATCTGATATGTGCTTTTTCCTAGCCAATTGCTCAGGTGAGCGATGTGGCCCCTGGGCCTCTTGTTTAATTTTCAATTAAGAACCCTCTATACACTGACGAAAAATGTTTTTTGGACTTTGAGAAAATTATATAGTGTAAAGGAGGCTATTTTGAAATAAACTAATCCATTTCTAATATAAGGAGCGTGCCTTCTTTATCCACGAAAAATCTTTGAAGACAGTGAAGTAATGACAAAGAAAAATTGCTTTTGATTATTCAAATGGAGAAAACACATGCAAATAAAGTTTTCAATTACTCTATCTTGGTCTAACATAATGTTTAGAATACATGGACTTATTTAAAATTTTGTCATACAGTGCAGATTACAATTTATTCTTCTTTATGTCAAATGGTGGGTCAGTCTAACTACACGCAAGTACCCTGAAAGTAGGGTGCAGTGTAGACTAGAAAATGACGAGAATTGTGCCTTTCAAAAAACTGGAAGATTAGGTGCTTTTTTAGAGTCTTTTTAATGAGTTTGTCTTCTTCATTCTAAGAAAAAAAATACACTTTAAAACGTGACGTTCCGTTGTGACGCGACGACACCCCCTATGCTCTTTATTTTAAACATCTATAAAATAAATTCAAATTAACATTACTTTATTAAAATTTCTATGTTAATCAGATTTATATATGTGCATCTTTTGGTATATTGTATTTGATAATATGACGCCAAATCTAAAAGATGTGGACACTGTGACATTACTTTTGGATCAACCCTCGTATTTGCAGTTCCCGTTCATTTTCTTGGCATCCCTTGCACATACTGAAATGAAATTTGATATACAGATATATCAGGTGAATATCTAGGTCAAGTTCTGTTTTGGGTGTGATTGCCTCATTTTTGACAGAGTTATGCCCCTTGGACTTAGAAAAATTCCAATTATATGCAGTTTCTGTTCATTTTCTTGGCAACCCTTGCACATACTGAAATGAAATTTGGTATACAGATAAATCAGATGAATATCTAGGTTAAGTTCTGTGTTGGGTACGATTGCAGCATTTTTGACAGAGTTATGCCCCTTGGACTTAGAAAAATTCCAATTATTTGCAGTTTCCGTTCATTTTCTTGGCAACTGTTGCACATACTGAAATGAAATTTAGTGTACAGATTTATCAGATGAATATCTAGATCAAGTTCTGTTTTGGGTCAATTGCGCCATTTTTGCCCTTTTTGACTTGGAAAAATTCAAATTTAGGGGGAGGGGGGCATAAGTGTTTTACAAACATCTCTTGTGGAAAATTTAATCAAACATAAAGGTCAAGGTATCAAAATTGTAGTGTGCTGATACATCTGACAGATTTAAGCAATTATGACAAACTCATTAAATTAAATAACATATAGGAAATTGTTGTTACATACAATGTACATGTCAAATATGAAAGCTTCATCCCTTTTCTATCAAAATTTATAAGGAAAGATTACACTTGTGAAAATTAGGTCAAACTTTAAAGTCATAAGGTAAAAAATCATAGTGACGTGTATTTAGAAAGGTCTTATCACAGACCTGTAATGTGTAATATGAGTAATGAGTAATATGAAAGCCCTATCTCCTCTAATTCAAAAGTTTAAAAAGATTAGAATTTTGGAATAGTAGGTAAAAATTCAAGGTCATGGGGTCAGAAGTTATAGTGTAATTGGAAAGGCCTTAAATTGTCACAGATACATGTAATGCACAAGTCGAAAGATTTTTTTTACAACAAAGTGTAAAACAGGAAGTTCTTAACAGAAAGCAATTGAAAACAGTAATTATTTTCCCCAAACGAAGTTTGGTAACCTATTATTTTTACTTTCTCCCGAATTTTCTTCTTCATGGGTACTTTTTTGTCGTAGACTACTCATGCGATCTAGGTGAAACCTTTTTAGGCATGTAATGTACATGTAGATTTACGGAACGAAGGTCATTTTGCATGCACCATCATGCCTATCTGATTCTCACTGGAAAACATATAATGAAGCGTTGCTTTTTAAATCAGAATATCAAGTTGTTTTTTGTGGCTGTGAAATAATATGCATCCACTAACAAGAGTGATCTTTCCATTATCGCCCTTGATCTCGATTTACACAGTTTAAAGAACTGAGTAAAACTGTTTTAGGTTGATACTGTAATTAATTAATGAAAATACTGGCAATAGATACTAGAAATTAACATCTGTTCCAAAGTACAGATTTGATTGAGTTTACCATAAACTGGTCCTCATTGATGAAATCTGTAAAATCTGGCAACACGTGACGATTCATTGACTTTCATGGACAGTTATCTCTCTTATCAGAGGGATATAACACCTTATAAAGTAATAAGAATTTTTAAAGATGCATGGAGATAAAATGACTTGACACATTTGTTTTCATGTATATTAGATATAATGTATATTTCGTGGTATCCTAAATTATTATTCAAAATGCCATGATCTTTAATGTTCCTATTATCAGTAGAAGTTTATCATAAGTGTGTTGACTTCCAAAAATCGTCAACATGTTGAAAACAAAAGATTGTCAAGAATAAAACAAGCGCTGAAAATTACTGTATGCATCGACATTTTAGCCCTCTTGTACTTGCAAACAATTTTGCCCCCTTTTAAAATCGCCCAGTCATGGTTCTGTTTAAAAAAATATGCTGTGTAATTTGAATTCGCCCAGTTTTAAAATCATCCAAACAAGAAGAGGGCGAAAGGGGCGAAAATACAACGGGGGCGAAAGTTTCCCCGTATACAGTTATTTGCTCACATAAAAAAAATTCTTTAACCGGTGTTTCGAAGATGCATTATATTCTTCTTTGATAGAGTCATGGTGATAAGAAATAGAAGTACTCAGTACACTGGATACGAAAAAATTAACCGCTCACGCTGATTAACATTGGGATGTGTGGTCATGTATTGAACAAACTTTTACTCCCACGATTCAAAAAGCATACATCACTGTTGGTTTTTTATACAGTAATCATGGTAATCGTCTGTAATCGACAAAAATTTCATTTCAGTATCAAAGCAATTTACAAGTATTAGATCTATATTGAATTGCTGTTGCAGAAATAAAACAAAATCAACATATATTTTTCCCTTCATTAAGCTTCTTAATTATGAAAACGCAATAAAAATATCCACAACAATTGAATATATTTCATTTTATTGACTCTTTATATCAAATCACATAATAAACATGCAGTTAATGGTAACAAATTATTTTAAATCAGCAATGTATGAGACGAAAACCCAGATCTCTGATTTTTTCAAAGTTTACTGTAGATACCTTAGTTTCTTAATATGGCCTTTATGATACTCTCCGACGAAAAGTTCATCGGCTTTTCCAACACACAGACAGTAAGGTTCGTCCAGAGATATGTCTGTTATAAAGCTGACCAGCTGACCAATACGATCTAGGATGTGTATACAGTTATTTTGCTGGTCGGCCACTAGGATATGACACTGGCTATCCGTGGTAATGCCTTTAGGACAGAATGCAGGGTACTTCCTCAACACTTGCTTCCCATTGTAATGAAACTTCAAAACCCCCTTTTGGTTTACCACAGTGACGCGATTATAATGAGCATCAGACACACATACGTCTCCATTCTTGTTTTCAGCTATAAAGGCTGGCGATCCGTACAGAGGCCTGCATTTATTATCAACGCAGTATTCTCTTGTTTTTGTAGACCCTCGGTATCCAACAACTCGAGCGCGTCTAGCATCATCAGAACGCATTGCGACCAAAATATCGCCGGCCATAGAGCAACACAATGCCCAAGGTTTCCAGCCACCCAAATTTATCATGGCGTCCACCTGACCATTCTGTAAATAATAAATTCGCCTTTCTTGCCAGTCGGCATAAATGATTTTTCCCGAATCGATTATCGAAAAATCGTCGGGAGAGTTTCCGGAGAGTGTTTGTAGTTCATCTTTGCAGCCATGGGTTATCTGGTCGATGCTTTTGATGGTTTTGTCGTCTCCGCTTATGAACATGAAGTTGTTCCAAACACCGATCCGCCACAATGGCTGACAGTTTGTAAAGAAAACCTCTTCTAGGAGGGGTTGCTTGAGAAGGGTCTTGAAGCAGAGTTGTTCGGAATCTGGTCCGCTGGTTTGCTGAGCTACCGATAGATCACCTTCATTTTCCTTGACAAAAATCCAGGACCATATCTGCTTTAAGGTTTCCAAGACGTGTATCATCCTGTCTATCGTTAAAAAATGGAAATATTAATCAAAACAACTGCAACAAATAGATAAGATGTTTGAAGTGAATATGTGAGAACTTTACCTGCTTCTCCCTGCTGTAATCTAGGACGTCTGTTGAACACGAAGCGAAGAATCTTCCTCTTCAGTGTGTACATAAGAATACCATAAAATACCTGCGCTGACAGTAAGCCTTAGATAAACTGGAAATTATTTCCCGCTGTATATAAAAACATTCGTTCCTTCATATATCAGGAAACACTTTGTTAAATGAACAGCAATATAGATAGGTTCATTTTATCCCTAATTGCAATAAAATGGCCCTGTCCATACCAATTACTTGACCATGTCCAAATGTCCCATTCCAAACTTCAATATACAGTATAGAAGCAAGCTATTTTCATTTTCTGTAAAGAAAAAATTCTCTGGGAGTCAATGTATAGATCGTGAAATTGAAATGTTCTTGGACTTTGAAGAAAATAGGTGTATTTTAGTACCTTCAGCAAAGAATTGAATATGAGCTCACTCCTCGATCCATTTGAAACAGTTCTATCATTATAAAATGGAATAGTTTGGATCAAAATTAGGGGTTTATGCAAAATTCTGGAAAAAACATCATGAATTTTAGAAATTTTTGAAATTTTAGGATTCGAGAATGTTGACGCATGTATGACCTTACATTGCGTGAAGTGACCTGGATTAATTCTTCATATTAAATAAAGAGAAATCATCTGTATCTGAAGCAATTTTGCAAGTTCTATCACGCTGGAGGGCGTGGTTACGTCATACAGAGGATAACGGTGTTTTCATAACAAATGACCTTCGACGATCAAATTCAAATCATTTATTACTTAAATTGACAAGATATTGTCTAATCTTACCTTCATATTAAAAGGTTGACATTTTAAGGCCGGTATACACGGTAAGATTTGTATTATAAGATTTGTATTATAATACAAAATCTTACTGTGTATACACTCTTAATACAGTGTATCATAAGATTTTTTGAATCTTATAAGATTGTATTAAGAATAGAGCAATGTTCTATTTCCTAATACAAGTCTTAACTCACCTTTCACTTTCAACCAATCAAAGGTACTCACATTGGGGGTCATCCTATTTATATTATTACTAAATAAAGCACATGGTAAATAATAATGGCCGACTTTTCGAGTAAAGGTATCGAAAAACTCGCGGTTTTATGGGAAGTGGAAGAGGACTTGTGGAATATATCAAACTGTAGCTACCACAAAAGAGATGCTAGAAGCAGAGCTTATTATTATCATTTTATTATTTTGACAGAGAGAGAAATATGACAGGAGAAAACACGTGGGAATAATATTTTATTTACAATCTTATAAGATATGTATTAGCGTGTGTACAAGAAAGTATTATAATACAAAAGTATTATAATACTTGTATTATACTACAAATCTCATCGTGTATACCGGCCTTTAGTCTCTCTGTAAATTAGATAACCAGGCGCCCCTTGAAAGATAATGTATAAAATTAATCATCAAAATTATAAAGAATCGATTCCTTCATTCACAATGCCATAAAAGTGAACGTTCGTTCCCTCAAAACTGTCAGAGGACTTAAAACTTTTAAAGCAAATTTATACCAATCGATAGTACATATTACATTGTACTTTTATCGCTAAATGTAAATATTGTGCAATTCTGCATGAATCAATTTATAAAATAGATGGAAATTACAAAAAATTATTTTTTTAGACGATAGAAAGAAATGTGTACAACTCTTCCTAAAGCGTTTTAAATAGGAAAAATTGTTTTAAACGAATGTTACCAATTTGAAGAAGCATGCAGTGTTTTCAGGCACATCGGTCATTATGATGTTTAAGGCTCTATATACCACAATTTAATTAACCACGTGGTAATAGATACCTGTATCTACCATGAGAAGGAAATATTTAACGAAATGATAAGGATCTTACTACGTTGAATAGAATCCTACTGGTATATAAATAGGTTCAATACAGATATCGGTACCTATATAATCATTAATTATCTATATAGCGTTATGCACGTGATACAGTAACTGTTTTTAATAGAGATAGAGACTGCATATTTGGTATGTATACTGACTACACCCCAATGATTAAGTTCTTTCAAATAACACCAAGGTCAATGACCTTAAGACCCTGCATGGCTGTGACCTATATATGCTTAAAATAGCTTTTTCGAACTTTCGCCATAACTTTTGAACCATAAGAGATAGAGACTTCATATTTGGTATGCATACTCCACTAATTAAGTTCTTGCACATGACACCAAGGTCAATGACTTTGACTGTGACCTATCAAACTTTGTTGCCGCCAGGCGCATAGTGTTTCAAAAACACATCTTGTTTTTAGCTCACCTGAGCCGAAGGCTCAAGTGAGCTTTTCTGATCACATTTTGTCCGTCGTCCGTCCGTCCGTCCGTCTGTCCGTCCGTCTGTCTGTCCGTCTGTAAACTTTTCACATTTTCGACTTCTTCTCAAGAACCACTGGGCCAATTTTGACCAAACTTGGTACAAAGCATCCTTGGGTGAAGGGAAATTTAAATTGTTAAAATGAAGGGACATATCCCCTCGCAAGGGGAGATAATCAAGAAAAGACAAAAATAGGGTTGGGTCATTAAAAAATCTTCTTCTCAAGAACCACCGGGCCAGTAAAGCTGAAACTTATGTGAAAGCATCCTGGGGTAGTGTAGATTCTAAATTGTTCAAATCATGACCCCCGGGGGAAGGGCGGGGCCACAATGGGGTATCAAAGTTTTATATAGAAATATATAGGAAAAATCTTTGAAAATCTTCTTCTCAAGAACCACTGGGCCAGAAAAGCTAAAACTTATGTGGAAGCATCCTGGGGTAGTGTAGATTCTAAATTGTTCAAATCATGACCCCCGGGGGAAGGGCGGGGCCACAATGGGGAATCAAAGTTTTATATAGAAATATATAGGAAAAATCTTTGAAAATCTTCTTCTCAAGAACCACTGGGCCAGAAAAGCTGAAACTTATGTGAAATCATCCTGGTATAGTGTAGATTCTAAATTGTTCACACCATGACCCCCGGGAGAAGGGCGGGGCCACAATGGGGAATCCAAGTTTTACATTGAAATATATAGGAAAAATCTTTGAAAATCTTCTTCTCAAGAACCACTGGGCCAGAAAAGCTGAAACTTATGTGGAAGCATTCTGGTATAATGTAGATTCTAAATTGTTCAAATCATGACCCCCGGGGGAAGGGCGGGGCCACAATGGGGAATCAAAGTTTTATATAGAAATATATAGGAAAAAAACTTTGAAAATCTTCTTCTCAAGAACCACTGGGCCAGAAAAGCTGAAACTTATGTGGAAGCAGTCTTGTGTAGGGTAGATTCTAAATTGTTCAAATCATGACCCCCGGGGGAAGGGCGGGGCCACAATGGGGTATCAAAGTTTTACATAGAAATATATAGGAAAAATCTTTGAAAATCTTCTTCTCAAGAACCACTGGGCCAGAAAAGCTGAAACTTATGTGGAAGCATTCTGGTATAATGTAGATTCTAAATTGTTCAAATAATGACCCCCAGGGGAAGGGCGGGGCCACAATGGGGTATCAAAGTTTTATATAGAAATATATAGGAAAAATCTTTGAAAATCTTCTTCTCAAGAACCACTGGGCCAGAAAAAGTGAAGCTTATGTTGAAGCATTCTTGGGTAGTGTAAATTCTAAATTGTAGGAATCATGACCCCCGGGAGAAGGGCGGGGCCACAATGGGGAATCCAATTTTTTCATAGAAATATATAGGAAAAATCTTTGAAAATCTTCTTCTCAAGAACCACTGGGCCAGAAAAGCTAAAACTTATGTGGAAGCATCCTGGTATAATGTAGATTCTAGATTGTTCAAATAATGACCCCCGGGGGAAAGGAGGGGCCACAATGGGGAATCAAAGTTTTATATAGAAATATATAGGAAAAATCTTTGAAAATCTTCTTCTCAAGAACCACTGGGCCAGAAAAAGTAAAGCTTATGTGGAAGCATTCTGGGGTAGTGTAAATTCTAAATTGTTGGAATCATGATCCCCGGGGAAGGGCGGGGCCATTATAGGGGAATCAAAGTTTTACATAGAAATATATAGGAAAAATCTTTGAAAATCTTCTTCTCCGGAACCACTGGGCCAAAAAAGCTGAAACATATGTGCCCATGGAAGGATCAAGGGGTAGTGTAGATTTCAAAATGTCTAAATTATGATCAGTGGGGTAGGGTGGGGATGCATTATGTATAACAAGGGGGAAATCTGGTAAAGAACAGAATGGTCAAAGCTTCTCAGGTGAGCGATGTGGCCCATGGGCCTCTTGTTTTTTTAATTTGAGACTTCAAGATAAAAATGATTACATCTGTGGGTACTCGGGTGATCGTTGTATTGACATGCCACTCTTCCAGTTAACTCTTAAATTGAAGTATAAATGTCAAAACTGGTCTTTTACTTATTACACAAAAAGAATGAAAAATTTTAAATCATCTAAAATAAAACTGACACTGAAGAATCCAAAAATAACAGATCGGGGCCTTATCGAATGAAGTGGATATACATGTGTAGGGGGGTTTATGAACATATATAAATCTTGTCAACGTCAGCTTTTAATATAGATTTATAAGATTTATTTCTCAATAAATGAATGTAAATGAAAAGAGATAAAGAAAATAAAACATGTTGAAGACTTCAGACAATACTGGCCTAATATTTTTCAACGTAAAGTTTGTGCGGCCTACATCAAAGCTGTATACAGTGCATATTATATACGGTAAAAAAAGAGATTTGATAAAACTGCCACACCAAAATTTAATTTCATTAAAAAGTTATTTTTGCACATTGTGCCGTGCGACAACAAAATTTTCGCTATTTACCAATTACATGTAGTCCTTAACAATTTTATTTCCTGTTCGTTGGACATTCGATAAAGAAATACCAGCGGGCGGGCGACTCGATAATAATATTTTCTTTTTTGTAGGAAAAACGTTTAGGCAAAACAAGAAAAAAATTGATTGGAAAATTATATTTATGATTTTTAGAGCCAGCCGATTTAAAATTTGAGCGGAAATAGAAAAGAATACCCGAGGCCCGTTCAAAAGAGCGAATGTTCGCGAGCACTCGGCAAAATTCCTTCTATACACGTACCTCCAATAGAAATGTTTGCGAACGCTCGCTCTGTTGAACAGGCCTCGGGTTAAGGGCAGACAGAATTTCCCCGGTTCGGGAAATTTAAATTAATTAATGAGGCCTTAGTATGCTCATGACAATTTTTTTTTAAACTGCAGAACTGTAGCGTTATGGTTTTATATATAGCTTTTGACATTATGCTCATGCAAAGACAAAAATATATAACATAACACTACAAATCTGCAGCTATAGGATTTTTGAGATTTAAGAAATGTTTTTTTATTCCATTTGTGTGTGTGTGTGTGTGTGTGTGTGTGGGTGTGTGCGAGAGGGTGTGTGTGTGTGTGTGTTTTAACTTGTAATTTGAAGGAAAAACTGTGTATTTATAGCGTTAATGAATTGAAAGTTCTTTGAAGTATTTTTTTTTTCTTTCTTACTGATAATTTTAAAGTCATATATATGATTTTAATAAATTCAGACTAAATAAAATCTAAAAGAGCTTTCTATTTGTTTTGTTACTTTATACTCTATAAAGACTTTCAGAATTCCTGTAAATTACACAGTTTAGATCAATTGCATTTCATAGATATCCGAGATTTAAAACAATAATCGATTTATTACCGACTCGGAATTAAATTATAAGATACAGTTTAAAGTCAGTTAACTTAGAAATGTGGGGATAGTGCAAATCAGTGAAAATTTTAATTTGAACGCAAAACAGATACATGTATCATGTAAATATACACTTAATCTCGTATTTTTATTTATTTATCTTATTTTTTTGTAGCTCAGATACGCCATATATAACTTTACACAAAAATGGTATTGATAGGGAAAAGGAATTCAAATTTCTATGTTGTATTAATAAAACATTGTTTGCGGTGCACACTTTTTTTATTAACTTTATATTAGTAAAACGAAAAATATTTAAAATCATCTTCCCAAGTCAAGAGTTTCTGATCCGTTCCGCTCCACATAAACTGTTTATGTGGAGCGGAGCGGATCAGAAACTCTTTTAACTTGGGAAGATGATTTTAAATATGTTTGCTTGTTCTGATACACCCCTCATATAAACCCTCAAACCTGAAGCCATATAGTGTTAAGTGATATTCCCATTCCAGTGAGATTATTATTATGCGCCCGAATCGATAGATCCGAGGCGTATATTGTTTTTGTTCTGTCTGTCTGTTTGTTTGTCTGCAAACTTTAACCTTCATCATAACTTTTGAACTATGAAAGATAGAGACTTAATATTTGATATGCTTACTCCACTAATTAAACCCTTTCAAATTATACCAAGGTCATTGACCTTGTGACCTTGACTGTGACCTACATGCTAAAAATTGCGTCTTTGTCTGCAAACTTTAATCTTCGTCATAACTTTTACACCTTGAAAGATAGAGACTTCATATTTGGTTTGCTTACTCGACTAATTTGGCTCTTACAAATGACACACAGGTCACTGACCTTATGACCTTGACTGTGACCTATATGCTATAAATAGCTTTTTTGAACCTTCACCATAAGTCTGAACCATGAGAGAGAGAGACTTCATACCTGGTACTTAATTAGTCCACTAATTAAGTTCATTCAAATCACACCAAGGTCAATGACCTTGTGTCCTTGACTGTGACCTATATGCTAAAAAGAGCTTTTTGGTACCTTCGCTATAACTTGAATCATAAGAGACTTCATATTTGGTTTGCATACTCCACTTATCAAGTTCTTTCAAATGACACCAAGGCCAATGACCTTGTTACCTTGACTGTGACCTATATGCTAAAATAGCTTTTTTAAAACTTTGTTGCCGCCGGGCGCATAGTGTTTCACAAACACATCTTGTATTTATTTTATTTTTTACCCTTTACTTAAAATTTCTTTCCATATTTTTTTTTTGTTTTTCATCTTCACTTTCCCATTTGATATTGAAAATACATGTATAATGATAATATTTATCTAGAAACTACTGTACTTAGCCTTCACTGACACTGGAATGGGATAAAAGCAGTGGGGTTGAGTACTTCCGTGTTTTCTTTATTGACCGGGAAGTTGTGTCCAGTCCTCTGTCCCCGGGGGTACACATTACGTCACTACGGACACGTGTATTTAGAACTATAAACAACAGGGGTATACCAGTCTTCATAGGGAACACGCGTACAGGTAAGATTCCAAATTATGTGTAGGAAATATGTACAAAATGTTATAAAATCCAACGTAAACTCAAAAGTACACTAACTATTATTGTATTCGGTTACAAAATATTCCTGATGTTTTATTTATTTATTTCTTTTCTTTTTTTTTTTTTTTACGTTTTACTGATATGTTTTAAATGCGAGTATTTTCTAAATGCTTCGTAGGCTTCCTCATTAATTTTAAAAAAAAAAATAAAAGTTTATAAATTAAATAGAAAATAATAATTTTTCTCGATATATAAAGAAAAAAATAAACGAACCTACGCCGATCTATCTAACAAGTGCTATTTCTGGGTATACAAGTATATCTCCATGATATCAATTGAGGTAGGATTATTCTCACACAAAACTGTATTTCTTGTATTTGAAATCAAGAAGACAACATCACTTAGTGATGGTATCAGTTAGATTAGTTTTGACCATTTTATTAGAGTCAAGGTCACGGCAAGATCATTACCTTTTCCCTGAGCATTAAGTATGAAAAAATACTGCATACAATCATGCAATATGGTCTTCTATTTCTAAAAATTAATTTAAATGTTTTTCTTTTTGCATAAAACAATGTTACCAAACAGGGTCTATAAGGCCATACTACCTAATTGACACAAAAAGTTTAACAAAAATGGATTTTGGCTGATCCGAATTTTCTCTATTTTTCCTAATTTTTATATTAGTTATTTTTTATGGTGGCATATTTCTGCCCTCTACATGCAAGATAAGTTATGTTAACATACAACATAGTTATGCAGACATGCAACATATTTATGTCAACATGCAAGTTAATTATGTTGACATGCAAGTTACCAATCTTATAAGAAAATATAATTTAAATATGGGTAAATTTACTTACTAACGCCTGTATCTGACATTTTAGATGCGAAATGCAAGAAAATTATGTAGACATGCGACTTTTTTATGCCAACATGCAAAATAATTATCTCAACATGCGACTTATTTATGTCAAAATGCAAGATAATTATGTCAAATGCGACTTATTTATGTCAACATGCAAGATAATTATATCAACATGCGACTTATATATGTCAACATGCAAGATAATTATGTCAACATGCGACTTATTTATGTTAACATGCAAGATAATTATGTCAACATGCAACTTTTTTATGTCAACATGCAAGATAATTATGTTAACTTGCAAGATATGTAAGTTGATATGCAAGTTATTATCTTGCATGTTGACATAAATAAGTTGCATGTGAACATAAATATCCTGCATGTCTCGCATGTTAACATAAGTATCTTGAATGTTGACATAAATAATTTGCATGTCTACATAATTAACTCGCATGTTGACATAAATATCATGCATGTCTACATAATTAACTCGCATGTTGACATAAATATCTTGCATGTCAACATAATTAACTCGCATGTTACATAAGTAAATCGCATTTTCTCATAATTATGTTGCATCTTGCATCTACGATGTCAGATACGGGCGTCAGCACGGGATTTTACCCATATTTAAATCAGATTCCCTTAAAGGATTTGTAACTTGCATGTAAACATAATCATCTTGCATGTATACATAATTTTCTTGCATGTTGACATAATTTTCTTGCATGTTAACATAATTTATCTTGCATGTAGGGGGCAGAAATATGTCACCATAATTTTTATATACATGTGTCCTATATTTAAAATTTTCTAATTTTCACATATGGTAAAGAGATCATATAGAGAAACAAAATGATACAAAAACAAAAAGATTTGACCGTTTACTACGAGAGTGAAACACTTTCTATGGAATTTTGGCTCATACCTGTTCTTAGATTTGAAGCTTTTAAAGCTAATATTATTGTATTTTGTGAAAAAAAAATCACATTTATTTGATAAATTTTAAAACTTTAGTCCCTTATCATTAATATAGCTAACATTTGAAAAATTCTTTAAGTCTTTGATTGTGTAAAATTATGACTAAATTCATTGTTCTACAATAATTTTGAGAATCAAAAAAGAAGATATTTTCATACGCCACCATTCCGTCAAAAATATAGTTACTGGTAGATTTTAAACTCAGTTTACCATATATCTATTTAAAGTTGTACAATTGTGATGAGAAAAGAAAAATGTGATCTTTTAAATCTCTTACATCTACAGTGGACCTTCAGATATCCGGACGCCAGATATCCGGATGCTTCAGTATCCGGACGATTTTTCATCGGAACGAAATTTTAAAATGTTATTCTGTCTTGTTTAACTGGTGATTCAGATATCCGGATGCTTCACATATCCAGACAAATTGACTGGGAACCAAAGCGTCCGGATAAATGAGGGTCCACTGTAAATATATGAGATATAAGCAAATATACATTGAATATTTTATCTAGTCAGAAACAGAGAAGGATCCTACCTTAATTATTAGACGAAATTGGAAATGCAATTTTTCCATAACGTTAACTGAGCAGCAGGGTTTTTTAGGGGAGGAGGTTCCAACGTCTAGAGTTTTCAGCTGTTAAACTGATGTAGTAAAGTAACCAATAAATGACCTTGAACCCCCTTACCCTCTAGAAAGCAAGAAAACTTATAAGAAGATTTATAAAATTCTATAAATTAAGGAAAGTGGCTTGTCCATTAGAAGTATACCCCTCCCTCTTCCACGTTTGGGAAAGTTCTTTCTTTCTCATGCAGTTTTGTTTTGAGTACTTTTTAATTTTTTAGCTTGGCAACAATTTTTGATTTTAATATTTTTTTGGTTCTGCTGTTGACCTTTCCTTAAAATGCCCCCAGGTCTCTCGAGCTCCTTGCACCCACTGTAGTGAATACTAGTACTAGTAGTCAAAACATCATACTTGCCAGCAAACAGTCAGAAAGCCTAATTTAGTTATAATAATATGTACATGTTGAAAATAATTATTGAAAATTGAGTATTTCTAATCTGAAAGTATCGATAAAATAATCATATTGACTGGTCGATATTGCTTTTACAGAATGGGATTCATCAGTAATTTAGATATCGCCCTGACTTGGATCCTTCCATGCTTGTGTATTGTTGACGGCTGTATCAAGGTCTTTCCATTCAATACAGAGCTTTATGGAGAAATTGTAAGTTTTGGCATACTTGTAATTAATTGATTACGTTAATTTTTTAACAATATGTATTACTCTTAAACGCCGAATAACAAACTAATATAGCGGACTATGTTAAACTCAATTACCAAGTTGAATACCAAGATTATGCCATTTAGCAATTGAAAATGATTTACGCGACATAAGTTTGTCCAAGAAATTTAAATTTGAATGATAAACTTAAATTACGGTATTAAATAAATCTTGGAACTTGAAACCTTTAGAGTGTTGACAATGACAATGACTCTTTTTTTCCAGGCGAGAGAATTTCAGGATTTTTCCAAGGTTTGCCCTTTGACCTTGATCGGATACACACCTAACCCAGACAATTACAGGATATTTGTCGGAGTGTACGAGGTGGCTTGTAGTCTGGCTGTACTCTTCTCCAGTGAAATAAAAACTGTAGCTACAGGGATTCTGGCTCTTATTTCCGGTGGTGCTGTTTTTACCCATATTGCACTTGGAGATACTACTTCCGCCATACCACCCGCTGTGACGGGAACGTTGTTCTTGTTTTTGTATATCAGGGCTTATATGGCATCTTTGGAGTCAACACCAAAACAGTCCAAATACAAAGTACCAAAGAAACTCAAAACCAAATGAATAATAATTCAGCGAATAAATTGAATGTGTTAATCATAGTTGCATTTTTTTTATCTGTTACAAACCTGCATGTACACGCACTTACACTAAAAAACCAGTATTGAAATAGTAACATAATTTTGTATGCAAATAGTGGTCTTTATTTCAATAGGTTTTGATAGTCTACGTGCCAGGAAAAAATATCCGACGTTTTCCAGGCTTTTTTTCACGATTTTGATAAATAACTTGTGTCTGTAAAATATCAAAATCGCGGAAAAATGCCTGGAAAACGTCATATATTCTGAACTTTTTATTTTCAAATAAAAATTAGTAAACGAGACTAGTATAACCTATGAAAACGAAAGGAGACTGGTCTCTCAAATCCTATAACAATTTGAATCCTGACTGTAAAGGGGAAAAAAGCCACGGACACCTGGGATCAGGTGTGCCCAGAAGGAGTCAATAAACAGGATTTAGTTATTTATTTGTACCAATAGATATAAACATCAAGGTGCAAACAAATCTGTCTTCTTTTCTTAGTAGATTTTTTTTTACATTTATGCGGAATTTGCAATGATATGGACGTTGCATCATTAGAAAATATAGATATAAAACACAATTCACACAACCAAACTGTTTACGTATAATACAATACAGTACTTGAACATAAACACATTGAGGAAAATTATTTTATCTTATAAAACATATTTTTTGTTTGAAAATAAGTAATTTTTCGTTCGATAATTTTTTTTTCAATAAAGAATTGAAATATGTCATGTTTTAATTTACACAGAACGGGATAATTTGACCCTTGAGGAATTTTTACGACTACATGTATTGTTAAGAAACAGAATATTCTTTTAAGAATTGACAGTCTTTCTCATTTGAAAAATAAAAGCATCTTTCAAAATGTTCTTGAAATAAGCAAACCCCTTCCCGCAAAACACTACATGTATCACCCTTCCAAATTAGTGCAATTATAGAAATTGGAAGGTATACTGCAATATACTTTTTACCTCCCTATATATATATATTCTCACACACAAGTAACAAGAGGCCCAGGGGCCATATCGCTCACCTGAGCACATCGGCTAGAAAAAGAACATATCAGATCAGAACTGAAAGTTTACTGAGGTGGGGGGGGGGGGACTTGAATTTTTTAAAATACTATTTGAGAATGCCTTCATTTCAATATAGCATATGATTTTGCTGTTCTTGATAAAAAGATTTCTTTTTTAAACATTTTTTTCCTATATACAAGTGTATTACTTTGTAAAAAATTGAATTTGATTCCCTATTGTTTCCCTCCCTACCCCCAGAGGGTCATGATTTGAACAAATTTAAATCTTCAATATATGAGGATGCTTACATGGAAATATGACTAATCATAGCTTTTCTGTTCTTGGGACTTTTCCCTTTATTTTTCTATGTAAGACTTTGATCCACCATTGTGGCCCCAACCTACCCTTGCATTGGGGGCTGTTATTTAAACAAATTTAATTCTACACTACCTGAGAATATTTCCATATAAATACCTGTACCACTTATCATAGCTTTGCTATTCTTGAGAAGATTTTTTAATATATTTACATGTAAATGTATAAAACTTGGATTACCCATTGTGGCCCCACCCTATCCCTTGGGTTTATGATTTTAACAAACAAGAATCTACACTACCTGAGGATGATTCCATATAAATATAACTTATCATGGCTTTGAAGTACTTGAGAAGATGATTTTAAAAGATTTCCCTATATATTCCTATGTAAAACTTTGGTCGGTCATTTTGGCCCCACCCTACCTCCAGGGGCCACGATTTGAACAAATTTGAACCTACACTACCTGAGTATGCTTCCACATGAGTTTCAACTTTCCTGTGTCAATGGTTCTTGAGAAGAAGGTTTTTAAAGATTTTTCTTATATATTCCTATGTAAAACTTTAATCAGCCATTGTGGCCCCACCCTACCCCCGGGGTCATTATTTCAACAATCTAGAATCTACACTACCCGAGGATGATTCCATATACAATACATGTAAATATCAATAATCATGGCTTTGGAGTACTTGAAAAGAAGATTTTAAAAGTTTTCCCTTATATTCCTATGTAAAACTTTGATCGGCCAGTTTGGCCGCACCCTACCCCCGGGGGTCATGATTTGTACAAACTTGAATTTACACTACCTGAGGATGATTCCACATAAGTTTCATCTTTCCTGGCTCAGTGGTTCTTGAGAAGAAGATTTTTTTTAAAATGCCAATAATTTTTCTCTAATTCATAATCATCTCCTCTTGGAAAAGGGCGTGGCCCTTCATTTGTACAAACTTGAATCCCCTTCACCCAAGGATAATTTGTGGCAATTTTAGTTGAAATTGGCCCAGTGGTTTTTGAGAAGAAGTAGAAAATGTGAAAAGTTAACGACAACAACGACGACAGACAACGGACAAATTTTTATCAGAAAAGCTCACTTGAGCCTTCGGCTCAGGTGGGCTAAAAAGGCTAATGAACAGTCCATAATATTTTTTCAATGGAGTATTATATACTACATGTATATGTTAGATAAAAGGCTTATAGTCATGTAATGATACAGTGTCTTCTAATATATGTATCATTTTCCCAATTTGTTTACTAATGTAATGTTTTTTTGTGTTTCTATATGTAAATATGTTACGGTTGTTAATAAAATAGGAATATCATTATTTGTTTATTTGATAAGCCCTAATCATGGTACCTGATTAGCGCCCTATTCTTGGCAGTCTAATTAGTGTCCTAATTAACATGGTGCTTATCAGATACTATGAATATATTGTGTCTTGACACCTAACTATGGTGCAGAGGCCCTAATACTTGGAGCCGATTGCCCTAACAGGGTGCCCTAATGATGGAGCCGATTGCCCTAACAGGTGCCCTAATGATGGAGCCGATTGCCCTAACAGGTGCCCTAATGATGGAGCCGATTGCCCTAACAGGTGCCCTAATGATGGAGCCGATCGCCCAAACGAGGTGCCCTAATTCACGTTAGGTGTCAGGCAGGGTATATCACAGGGCCCTGTAACATACTGTATTTGATTTTACGTAATCACTATATGTATACAAAAAAAGAAAGGGAAACAATGTCAGCCCGAATTTACACAGGGTCGATCTCGGAAATATTTCTTATTCCATAAAAATAAACAATGCAGCAAATTAAATATTAGCTAGAATCATACTACAATGAATATTCTTTAATAAAACAGAAACATTATTTATTTATATAGCGTTTAAGTTGGGTAATACTAACTCGATATTCAGTTGTGCGTGTCGACGTACTTTAAGTCGTCCACTAAAACGAGGTAAAATTCATACATTTTCTCCAGTTTTTAAGTCTTTCTGGAGATGGAAAACACAAACTAAAGGTCCAGCGTTCACGAAAATCATCTTTTTCTTTTGTTAATTGCAATTAAAATGTATAACCTCTCTGATTTGAATAAATACTGTGGGTTTTTCGTTCACAATAAGATCCCGAGCCTAGAACAGACGACATTTTGGAAAACCCATAATAGGTAAAAGGCGGAGCCTGATTGGTCAGATTTATTCTAGAAAAGCACTATTGACCAATCACATCTCGCGTTGAATCTTGGATGCAATATTTACCGACTTTAGTGGACGACTTAACGAGGCTGGGGGGTGGCAGCCATTTTTAGACTATTTCTATCTCCTTTAAAAGAAGAGCTCCATATAAAGATATAGAAAATGATCAAATTTTAAAACTAAAATTTTTTAAATATTTTTTTGCCAAATGATAGTTGACAGCTTAAGATATCATATCTAAAAAAATTAGTTAAATCTGGTGGTTAATTTGTGGTTAAATTGTTGACCCCCCAGCCTCCTTAAACTACATCGACTGCATAACAGGATATCGGATCTGCAAAACACGACTTACACGATTCTTAAATGACCGCAATGATAATTTTATTAAAGAGTGATTATTGCTGAATGATCCCAGGCGTTATTTCACAACTGCAAGGTATTTTATTAAAAACACGAATCATTTCCGAGATCGACCCTGTGTAAATTCGGGTTGACGTTGTTTCCCTTTCTCTTTTTGTATACATATAGTGATTACGTTTTAATCAAATACAGTATGTTACAGGCCCCTGTGGGGTATATAAGGAGAGAGAGTCAGTGAGCAGATATACTTGTGATAAATTGCTTGTACTGGATTGTTAACTACGTTGAAATACTTTTAATACACTCGTTAAAACAAACTTTGTCGTTGTTCTGATATTAGATCTATAAAGATCTAGAGTTTCTGACTTTCTACACGGGATCCACAATATTTTGTGACGTGGACTGAGCACAGAGAGAAAAACGTTACACTATATACAAGAAGACAGAACTTTCGTGTCCTTTCAATAATTTTGTCAGCATATATTTATGCAACATCTACGAATCCATGGTTGGTTCCTCTCCAAAACGTCCGTAAACCTTTTCTTAATATTTTTTGACCTGTCAGTCAAAAATTTCTCTTGGATCGAACCCCCCCCCCCCCCCCCCCACTAAACACTAAAACCCCCCCCCCCCCCCCCCGATAGCATGTGCTGTATTTTAGATTTACAATGTATAGTACCATTCTCTTTTAACGTATATAACAAAGCAATACGCTGGCTTTCATTTCTGTTCATCAATCATTACCGGCCGCCAGGAGGCGGTCGGTTATATGATATGAAAGTTTTAAGTCGCCGTGCGTTTCTGCGGAGTTAAAACAATTTGAATAAAAAATATTTAACATTCATTTTTCTTTTAATTCATTTCAACTGGAGAAGCTGTTAGCGAGAAGTCAGTGTATCTAATTAACCATTATTTGTAGATACAGATCTTTCCAAAGAATTAAATGGGTTGATTACAATAGATGTCCCCTTTCCATATATTGAGGTCAGCTCTTTACTCGGTATGGACTAAACCTACCGTATAATGAAAACATGCTCTATACTTCTAAGTAAGCCTCATTATGCCATCTTGCTCTCGTTACAGTTCGTTAACAGGTCAGGTCACCGTCCATTTATTTAGTACAGC